GCAAAGTTTCAGTTCCACTAGAATCTAACAAAGGAGGCATGCAAAACCTCAGAAACATGCTAATCTTTAAGACTTGATTCCCATGTTGTGGTCCTACACCTCAAACAGATTTCAGAGTGGGCACTTTTTGAGCAGATGGCTGGTAAAATTGTTTTTAAGCATGCAGTATCCTTCAATGGAATTATACTTTGTTCTACAAGCAGCGGTAGTGCAGATATATGAATTGTCCAATAATTTTCAAAATCTGGTTTTGTTCTGCTGTAAAGAGTTTGGATCCTTGGATTTATTTTATCTTGCTCTCATTTCTGTGAACTTCTGAGAGAATCTCGAACATTTACAGTCTGCATTTTTTTAGGTAGCAATTCATCTTTGCAGATACTCACAGACATTTTCTTATGTATACATACCTAAATTTTCCCTTAATTTTACTTTCTTTTTGATCTATATCATCATCTCTAACGACAAGCATTAATACTCTATCCAGAATGACAAGATGATGCTACTTCCTATTAATGTGAGTAAGAGAATAATTTTCATTACTTTTTGTGAAAAACTTTCGTATGTGGCATTACATTATTGAGGCAGCTTCAAGGATTTTCTTGTCAAAACTAGGCTTTAAGCTATTTTAAGAACTTTGCAGAATGTAACTATTTACCATTCCCAGGCTCCATGTCAAACCTTACTAGGAATGACTACAAGATTTAACAGGCTATTGTAAATCACCATAAATCTTTAAATTACATACTTCACACATCTAACAAAACGAATTCTGGATGGAGTTAACTTAGTCCCAAATCATTTAAGGCTAATGAGCAAGCTAAAAAATTTGCACCTTCTCATAGTTAGCCCTTTCAATCATACTTATTTCGGCATTTCATACCATGTATCTATTTTATCCTGTGTTCCTAAATATTTTTTTTGTGCTTTAAAGTATTTGTTTTCAAGACTGGCCTTGGGTATACTCTACAATAAATGTTATTATTATATGAGTCAACATAAGCTCCTCCAAGTTCTTCACATCCATTTAAAGAATAGGTAGGTGAAAAATAATTTCCTAAAAGAAGAATAGTTCCCTGAAACAGATGGTACTTTCCCCCTGAATATATTGTAAGCAATGTAAAAGTTTTGTCGGTGTTTTGGCATTGCTTTCTGAAGGTCTTCTATGTCCAGAAGGAAAAATATGTCCCAGATGTGGTAACTGTTGCTTGGGCTGGTGCAGTACATGTCCATAATAGCGCAGTGTAGGACCTATTTATGTAATTAGGACTAAGCAGTCAGGAAATGTTATATTAAACCCTTGACACCAATATCTTTTCCTGGAAAGCATTCAATTAAAAGAAAAAAAAAGCATAATCTACTAGGCTATTGTGTTTTCAAATGGCAGAATTTCCCTCTAGCTTCAAAATGTGCCTGTTTACCAAGTGCAGATATGAAGAAAAGGAATTTAACAAGCTGAAAATCCTTTGCCCTGTGATTCTGGAAAATACAATTACTTGGAGCAGCATATAAAAATTTACTCTTCTGATGTATCATGATGATGGATAAGAATACTGACTATTATCGATTGCCCACATATTTCCAAGGATTGGTCCTGTTTGTCTCCACCGAATCCTGGTGTCACTTGTTAATGCTGCATTGGGAAGGGGGATAGTTATTCGGTTCCACCTGAAATACATATAACGCAAATAATAACATTTTACACTGATAGGTATTAAGTAGCTGTACATTTTGCAGTTGTGTTTACTTACTCTGGAAGCTTTGTGAGAGTTTTTGATTCTAAAATCTGCTCAAATGAAGCAGTGAACTTACTGCGGCTTTAGAAAATACAAACAAAAAAAAGAACATGGCCCATGATATCTTCATACAATATATGATTGTTAATTATTACATTATAAAACCCAGCCATTTTTTCCTCCTCTATGAATGCACGAAGTCAGCAAAGATCTTAACCTGCTTTGTTATAGCAACTCCTCTATCACGGTGAATATTCCTAAATTGCATAATAAATTAAACCTTTTATTACAACTGGGCTCTGTTTGGTGGAAACCCTTGGCGGTAAGAAGAGGGACACAGAGGATTTGGCCTGCTGTGATCTGGGCCATCATTCTCATGTCATCCATAGAGAAGGATACAGAGTCATGGGATTTGCACTATGCAACAAGATATTGCAGTTCATTTTGTAGGCAGAGCAGCACTGGAGAGCCTTAGTAAAGAGACGGGTTGATATAAGAAGTGACAGCAACAACCATCTCCATCTGCAGAAGTACAGAGGATGTGCTTCACTGTAAGCCAATATTGGGATTCCAAGTGAGTAAAAGTGTCTGAGGATGTAAATATGGCTTTGACTGATGGTTTCTCTGACTAAGAAGAAAACTTCTGTGGCTTTGACAAGGTATAACTTTTCTTCTAATTACTAGCATGCTGTCCCCAGATTTTTTTGGTAATTTATCTTTAGCATCAAAAAAATAATATTATACCACAGAAGCAGCCCCATATATTTCAAATTTCATTACTGGGCAGCCAGGGAGACCAGAGCACTCCTTCCTTGCTGTCCTCAGCTAGTCAAAAATGAAAGATGACACGGGGTTGCATGAATTGCTGCTTTCTTCTGTCACCTATAATTCACTTCTCTAATCTTGCATCTCAGTTAGCTTTACAGAGAACACTCTTACCCGCTGTAATTTTCAGAGGCGTAGACAGTGCTGTGGGGGAGGTGAGGCCCAGCACATATCTCAGGCAAACACTCGGTGTGGAGCAGGGACCAAGACCGACCATGGTTGGTTGAAAACTCCAGGCTGACGCTGGTAACAGTGAAGGCAAGAAAGGAGAAAGACCGTGAGCCTATTTGGCATAGATAGAAATATAGAAGCACCAACACTGAGAAACCACCAAATCTGCTATTCCTAATAACTGATGCTGAAATGTGAAATAATTTCAAGCAGACTTTGAATACAAAGAATCCTGGAATTACAAACATGAAACAAATCTGAGTGTTTAAAAATGAAAAGGGTAACCTATAGACTGGGGATTGTCTAAACACCTAGTCCTTGTTTTGCCACCATCCTGCTAGTGTTTTTATGCTGCTGCTGTTAAATGAGCTGATATTACTCTTGTATTTCAACCAAAAATGGTTTCAGAAATAGTGAGGAGAAAACTTGGATTTGTCAGAGCTAGACAGCATCATGGAAGCACAGGACACTTGTAACTGCAAGTTGCTAAGCATTACATCTTCAGAAGGTGGTAGAAGACCACTAGTTATTCATGCACTGGCTGGCTCTTCCCTTCCATTGCTGACAAGTATTAACTTCATTGGACTCCTCAGTCATCTGCCTCCTCCTCCCATCGTGCCTAAATGGAGCTCAGAAAGGCACTATGGAACAGTGAGAACGGCCAGCCCCCACCGAGGGCTGCGGAGGGTGGAGGGAGCCTGGGGAAGGGCACCCTTCAGGGAGTCCCCGTAGGAGGCAGAGGCCCCGGGAGCTGTGGGATCCTCTTGCGTTGCCCAGACATAGAGGTCTTTGGAGGCTTAAGACAGAGCCTGGAGTGCTCAGTGGTGAATTTTATGAGTCATAGGGACATAACCATATGCAAAAACTCCATATTTGCCAGGAAAAAGGCTGCTGTTCTCTGGTTTCATTGACTAGCAGTAAGCCAAACCATCCATGTGCAGATAGTGACACGAGAGAACTGGAAACTCTATGAGACCATCCACTGAGTCTATGATGAGTTATTAAACCCATTCTCCCAAAAGCTCATTGACAAGTTCAGTTTTCAAAAAGCTGTTACTAGAATTTTTTCCTTTCCTGTTTCAAACCATATTTAAAAAAACACTGTTTACAGTCTAGAAGTGTGAGGAAACCCTTAGATCTTTTACATTCTGAGGGCCTTGAAAAAGTAATATAGAAAGTGCTTGATTTATTAAGGATTTAGTATTTTACTGAAATACTCTTGTAATTTCCTCTGTATAATTAGCTTGTAATACTTTGATTTATTTTAAGTAATGTCAGTGGAACATTATGAAAGTCATAATTCATCACCTCAATACTAAATTATTGGATTATAACTTTTCCTATTCATTATAGTTTGTTGACAATATCACTTTATTTAAATGTACCATCACTATGACACTGTAAGAGTGTATTAAAACAGTTTATGGAGGTTTTGACTAATTTATTTCAGATTTAACTGTACTGATACCTTGGAGGGTCATATTTACTGCATATATTCAGTGCCAGTCTCTCACATTTGCAGTAATGAAAGCATTATGTATAATGCTGTAGACCAGGAGATGGGAAATGTTGCTGTATTTGGGAAGTACAAATAGGGATAACAGGGATCTAGCGCTTCTTTTGTTACGAAGAAGCTCGCTTCTGCTTCAGAAATCATTTACGTGAAGGAAGAATATTAATCTTTCAAAATATGTACTAATCCCCATCAGATAACAGACTGAGACAGAGATTTTATATAACACGCGTTTACAGGCCAGGAGTGTTTACAGGCAAAGTTTTCACTTTCCATGTAGAAAAATGTTGGTGCCTTCATTTCCTATCAAATAGAAGTGCAATGCCTTGATTTTTGCTGCCCTGTATGGCTGCTAGGACTTGTCAGTGCTGATGCAGCTCTTTCCAGTTGGAAGTAGAGGCCATCAGGCATGGATGGGAAAGCATTTACAGTTTCTTTGAACTCTCAACTCTGGAAAAATATGAAGTAACTTAATCCTCATGAAATATCAGGATAAACAGTCTCACACGTACACAAGGAAAAAAGGACACTGGACAGTTTGGTTTTGGGTCCCCTATTCAAAGAAGGGTGTTAAGAAACCAGAGAGGTGAAGCAGAGGATGACCAAGGTGCCTTCTGGCCTTGAGCGCCGAGCTAGGAGGGGCTGGGGAGCTGGCTTGCTCAGGCTGGTGAGGAGGGGTGAGCTACGGCAGCCTGCGATGCTGCGGAGGGCACTCACAAGGGAGGCAGAGCCAAACTCTCCTCAGTACTGGCAGGCACAGTAGAAAGGGCAATGGTCATAAAGACATGGCTTCAGAGTTTTGGACTGGACATTAGGAAATATTTTTTCACTTATAGAATCATAAAATCATAGAACAGTTTGGGTTGGAAGTGACCTTTAATAGTCATCTAGTCCGACCCCCCTGCAATGAACAGGGGCATCTTCAACTAGATCAAGTTGCTCAGAGCCCTTGAGCAGGTCACCCAGAGAGGCAGCACAATGCCCATCCATGGAGGTTCAAGTCATGGAGAGGCAAAACCATGGCTAACGTGACCTATGCTGGTAACGATCCCAACTGCAGCAGTAGGTTTCACTAGATGACCTGTGAAGGTCCCTTCCAACCAACATTTCTAATATTCTACAAAATATGAAGCCGCAAATTACTCCCTTCTTTCCCTTTCCCTTCCGATTAACTCAATGGAAAAAATAACGTTGAACGTCCCAATGAAGTGAAGCCAGCAAAAGAGTTCAGTGGTCAATGTACAGGTAGTGAGGTCCTCATACTGATGGTCGTCAAGATCAGGGCCATTTATCACATTGTTCTTACAAGAATTAGATATACTTGTGGCATCAATAATCTCTGGGAGGTCAGCAGGGCAGGTTTCTGCTGCTGCCTTTAATACTTTCCTCGTTACACAGTATTAAGGGGTAAATCTCATATCCGTTAGAAACTGGACCAAAAGTCAGTCTGAAATCATGAGCATATTTCAGAATAATGGACTAAGAAAAGCAAGTTTTGACCTAGAAAGATATTTAATAAACTCCTTGTTGCACATGGGGTATATAAAGCTGGGCCTGTGGAGATCAGGAGAAACATTAGCTTTTGAGCAGCTTATATTTGTCATTATCATTGGCTTTATTCTTTCTGAGAAAAAAAATTCTGATACTCATATAGATGCTATAAACCAAAATGTACTAGAAAGCTGATAATCAAAAGAGAAATCTTCCCTGTTGTACCTGTTCCCAGGTTGATAAGTTCCACACCCCAAGTTGATGGAAAACTGGATCATGTGAGTCACTGTGGAAGGGAGCACTGGGAGGACGTGGAAGTAATCCACAGCCCAGACGTTCCTGTCGTGGCCTTGGTGACTCTTTTGCTTCAGGCAAAACTTGGTTGCTGGAGTCTGCAGGTCCGGACTAATGACAACAGAAACCAAAGACGGAACCTTCAAAAGAAATTAAATCAGGCTTAAATAAACTGAATAATATTTAAAAAGGTCACAACTTCAAGTGTGCTGAACCAAACATGTGCTTTTCTCTCTTCTTGCTTCATTTCTGTTAACTTTTTTTAGCCACCTTTTTCCAGATAAAACGATTTTATATTCTGTGCATAGCTATTAACACTCCGGATACCGGTGCTGCTTATCACCTTAGCGGGAACAGTTTATTTCGTTCTGTGTTCTGAAAAATATTTTGTCAGTGCTCAGCTGGCAATGGAAGATGATATTTGTCCTGCAGCCTTTCAGCTCACCGAAGCATACGCAGGGTAACGGCGTGTCTCGTCTGAATACGTGAGAATGGAGTCACAGCAGGATTTCACAGGCGTATGTAGGGAGGATGTTATGTTGTGGAAATAAAGGAAAGCACTGCTTTACGAAGCTTAGCCTTTGTCCTAAAGCAATGTAATTAGACCCTTATTATGTCAAAAAAGGATGTCAGCTTTAAAACGGCGTGTTTTAAAAAAAAACTCCACAATGAATTCAGTGTAATTTCAGATCCTATCTCTCCCCGAGTTCCCCAATTAATTTTTTATTATTTTACAATTACAGTTTCCTTAGTTTTAAAAAAGTTCTACCCCGACTTTCACACAGCAGCAGGCGAGGAGGGAAGCCACACACAATGAAACAATGCAAGTGACTCAAACTCGGGCCAAACCCTACTGTAAACATTCGCTGTCTGAACACTCGAGTTACAGTGAAATGCACACAGACCTGTGCTTGAGATAGCTGCATCTTTACCGCCAAAGTTCCTACACATTGTATAAGCATACTGCATCCATGCATATATGTATTTTTGTTGGTTTTTTTTTTTACAGCAGCACACTAAGGGCACCTCAGGGCTGGGTTACTCAGGGTAGATGTGGCCTAAGTGTTTCCTTGCCCTGGACAGGAAGGATCCTGACAGTGTGCTCAAGGTCCTTATTGTCCTGCCTGAGGTGGTGGACATGGTTGGAAGGAGGTTGCACTATCAGCAGAGGAGAAGCTGCCTCTGCACACCGCCAGCAACCGCATCCTGTGGCTGAGTTCATGCCCACATCACTGCAGACCCTCTAAGAGGGTACAGTGACAGAGAAGCTGCCTGTACACAACTGTGCTTAAAATGGAAATAAAAAGTGTAAAATGTGAAATTCCCCGCACCAGGCGCAGGAAAGACATCCAGGCATTTCCCAGTCACTCTCCTCCCAGCCACCGATCCCACCGTGACTGACCCTCTCAGGACACGGCTCCTGAGTACCAAACTGCGGCTCGTGGGGGCTTGACTGGAGAAATTATTTGTGAGGAGGCATTATCACCAAAGTTTTCAGATGATGCTGAAACTTTTTGCCCGTTGCCCATTTGCCTGTTATCCTAGCACCCGCCAACGCCGCCGTCCTGCTGTGGGGTGGAGTAATCAGCAGTAACTGCAGGGCCGTGTCGCAAGGCAGCCTATCGTTGTGAGGTCTGCACCTGATTTACGTCCTTGGGACGGTCATCTTTGACTGCCCCTATGGAATGCAATGTACAACACTGTGGTAACGGCTTAAAAGCAGATTGAACTACCCACCCCATCCACCCACTTTGTTTAAGACGATTTACCTTGTAAGCAGCGTAGGTCAGGGTATCAAGAGGTATGTGTTCCCTCCTGCCTTCAATCTTGGCATAAAGTATGACATCATTTTCATGGGATTCTCCAGAATCACAAGTTCCCCCTGTACAACACACATTTGAGGGAGAAAATAATTAATTGAAGCCCTTGTTATCGGAAAGTGGAATCATATTACGCAGCCATAATTACAAAAATAACTACAACCAGATGCTATTTAATTTAGGATATGAAACAAAAGAACACCAGCCCTAAGGACACAATGTATAAGAACTATTTGATCAGATACACCATGCCAGAGATCAAGGGGGCTGACAATTATGAAGACCTCAAGTAACTCTCTTAATCAGCTTATCAAAACAATTTTAATAGAAAATACTGTGCCCAAAGCACTACTTCTATCTGTATGCTTTAAATGGTATTTACATAGAAATGCTCTGGGTTGTGAGCTCTCATGAGTAAACTGTTACTTAGTACTCACACTCTGTGCAGCCAAGCACATCCTATGTGAGGACCTTGTAAATACTTCTCAGCGGATAGTTCGACAGCTGAGAATTTGCTCTTAGTAGGAAATGAGGAAAACTGCTGCGTACCTATTTTGTTGTGCTGCTGCTTCTACTATCTACACCATATCCTAAAAGGGATGGATGGAATCTATTGTATCACACAAAACATGTGTGACATGGTTGCCTCACTGGAATGGGGCAGCATTTGAAATGTCTTTGTACTGGGAGAACCCAAAACACTTATTAACCTTCTCTGAAAGAGCAGATGTATTGGCAAATTTGAGCATTAAGCTCTGCATTATAGTTATGAGATGGACATCATCACACTCGTTTGGTGTTCTAGAAAAAAGTTTTTTAAGCAAAGTATCTGTAACTGAAACAGGAGACATCATTTCCCTGTACACTATGGGTATTGCAGGTATGTAAAAAAACAACAAACCAAACAGAAAAATACAGGATGAGGAAGATTCTTTGAAAAGTCTGTAAAGTAGAAAGGTTGCATATATGAAACACTTCCTCTGCTATTTTCTCTATGGATGGTCAGTTCTTGGAATGAAATAGGCAAAACAGTCCAGAGAGTTAATAAGATGTGCGTCTTTCATGTCTATTATACTATATTAAGGATTATCCACGTGCCCTTTCAAATCCTCTGCTTGCCTGAATGTTTAAACTATCATTTATTTAATTTACAAGTACGTACAGAATACATTTTTCAAGTGATATCCCACTATCCTCTGTGCCTGCATGTGCTGACAACTTCTCCCCTAAGTTCAGAAGGTTGAGCAAATTTATTTCCTGCTTCTCTTGCAGGTGTTGTAACGCTTGGAAGAACTGGGAAAAAGCATCCTCTTTTTCCTGTGCTTTATTGGTAATTCATGTAACACAGAGGAGATGTGCGACAATTTAGGACGACAACATGAGGTCTTCCACTCATTACATAAAGGCTGTTTTTTCTTGTTGATACAGAAGGTTGCTTGTGGAGGTCACAAGTTTAGTCTGTGCTTCCTCCTTTATTATTCTATTATTTTCTACTTTTAAGCAAAAACCCTCATCTCCTCTAAACACGGTGTTGAGAGAATAACCTCATGCAATTTCCTTTATGTGCAAAATAAAAGTTCTGGAAAAACACTGTGAGGTACTGAATGATAAACACCATGTTCACAGGGATTTTGGTCTGTTGCAAAACTGAACTAATGCAGTTGCACTAACAACAGTGGGGAGGGAAAGTAGCAGGATGGGTTTGTTCTTGGCTGCTTTCTCCTAGCCCTGGTAAATCACTGAGGTTGTGTTTCATTCCAGCAGGGACGGTCCACAGATGATGCTAACACCACATCAGTGCTTTTCACTAGGAATGCCACATGTAGACCATACCTCCTCCAAGACTGTAGCACACTATAGCACGCTCTGTGTGAATCTCACCCTGGGCCAATACATTAGCAGAGGAAAATGTTCACAAATATAAAAAGAGCTTTTGAGCAGAAACTACCCTGTGGGTTCAGCCAGGTAAAGCTCTCCCACCTCTGTGCTACTCCTATCACCCTCAGGTGCAACTCAGTTCACTGCGATGGATTAACACCAGGCTCCACATGGGTATGATTGCAGGAGGATATGACAGGTACCTGTAAAATACTCTATGGTGTGGTGAGGGTGGCAAAGGTATGACCGTCTCTTCTAATGTATGAGGTGAGGGGCACTGAATGAAATTAGAAGGTACAAGGTAAGCTACTTCTTCACATGAAGAACTATGGAGTGGCTACAGGGTCTTGTGGGCACAAGAAGCAGGTTCAGTTGATAAAAACTAGTACCAAGTATCATTTTAGACACTGTAGAGGGACTGGCCTGACCTACCTGCTACTCCAGCAGGCTGTGCCTCTCCCACAAATCTTGGGTTATAACTGATAGTCTTGTGCTGGTACCTCAGATATGTTTGGACACCTCAAGTAGCAACAACCTGTGCTTGTGTAATGAGTCTTGCCTAAGGACTGAATAAGAGTGAACGCACACCTAAGTGTGCACCGGGTGCTTAAGCTTCCTTTATATCAAGGGAGATCCAACCCATGGAGTCAGTGGCATCCAGGGAGCTGCTCAGCTGGTCTAGCACAGGTATCTCATGGTGAGCTGAATGGGTTTTTCCAGCAACGGTACTGACCTCGTCTACTCTCACTATAAAGGAAGTTTAGTCACTGACCTTACATGGACACACCTTCATGTAACTTCTATATTAAACTGTTTTAACCTGGAGCTAAATGTTTATATCAGCCAAAAAAAAAAAGGCTGGATAAATCCATGGAAGAAATGCCCACCAAGGGCTACTAAACCCAGAATGTCCTGTCTGGTTCAGAAATATTTTCATCTGGAAGTCAGTGCCATCTGGGAGAATATTTTTGGGAGGCCTGCTTATGTACCCACCATGTTTATACACCCGTGTGGGCATCCAGAGGGGTGGACTCTCTGTCTGAGTGAGAGTGGTCAGTCTTACATCCTCATGGGCATCACGGTCATGAATCAGAGCTATCCTCTTCTGAGGAGTATTTAAAATAGTTCTATGCACACTGTGCAATTTAAATCTCACATGCACCACATGTTGTATTACATTAGGAATATATACTCACCCATACTGAAATAAAATCTTAAGTTCCCATAACCTGTAGTGTCCATGTACGGAGTGCATATTTTTCTTTCTCCATCTCTGAGAAATACCATAGCTGAGCCAGATTCCAGCGTCCCACATTCAGTACCAATGACGGCTCCGAATATGTCCCACCTGGAGAGGTCAACAGTGGGCAGAGAATGTGTAGCGGCACGATAAACTCATACAAATCATGTTCTAGGGGTTCATTTATACATACAAAAGTAGCTGCTGCTACTCTTAGAGAGGACAACAAAATGCAGTGTTTCAAATATGATTCCTATGACGTTACTTACATATTCGATACTATTTTTTAAACTCTGTTGACTCAAATAAAGCAAAGTAAATGTAAATGTTTAAAATAAATTGGCAGAAAAGCATGAATTACTAAAAAAATGAGGCTTTTAATGAATGCTATTACCAAATATTTAGTGTTGTGTTGTTCTGTCATCATTATTTTCCTGGCATAAAAATGTTTAAAATAGAACTGCGTTCTGTTTCACTTTGTATAATCTAAGGTTTATAGATCAATGACACTTGAAAAGCCACATGTCCACCATATCCACTATACAGTCATTAAATGCAGAGGTAATAGCTGAAAATGCTCTCTTTTCATCTTTGTAAGCATTTAGGGCAACAGTTTTTAACTAACACATGAATAGACTAGAAAAAAAACCTGCTGTGTGTTTATTATGTAAAGATAAAATCTTTCTCAGTTTTTCTGTGCAACATTTTCTCTTATTTTTATTCAGTGATAAGTAAAAGAGCTGTTGCAGAATTTTCAATTAGATATTTTTTTATTGAAAATATGTTTTCATCATGAAAGCGTTGGTTTCTTCAAAACTTGATTAAAATATTTTGAAAGATTAGAAACTGTTGAAAACCCGTACGTTATTTTGGTCTGATATTATTATTGGTATTATTCACGTTGAAGTCTTAATTAATTCATAATAAAGCATTTTTAAAATATAAGGCTGATAAAGCAATGAAATTATTTAGAATAATTAAATCCTGATAATCCAATCATTTAACTAGCCGGCATCATTCAGGATAAATGAGAAAACATTGACGTTCGGAAACCTTTGTGGGAAGGCAGAGCCTTTTCCTGGCCTCTTCCGGCAGAAACAATCTCTAGCAGCGATGTGGCATACGACAATTTCTAAAACTGCCATTCCAACAGCTTAACAATCTGTTTATCAGTTTAACCCTTCAAACTATTTCAAAATGTATTTCCAGAATCTTCTGAAAGCTGCCAGTTTTCCTATTGCCTTAAACTGTGACAGAGCAGCAACGTGCCTGTTTGGAAACCCTGCTTTAAAACTGCCAGTCATTTCCACAGGAATTAGCGAGCTTAACATCACTGAAAAGCTCATTTAATATAAATATAAATATGTTAATGGTACCACAGTCTAGCCGAACGCGAATTCTGAGGGAAGTACTTCAGTCGTGCAGACTTTGTAAAGGTAACGTGCAATACAATCAAAACGGGTCCCTTGGGCTGAAGGCAAGTCCCAATTAAACAGTTGTGGCTACTTTCACTTACGCGACAAAACCTCACAACGCTCTGTTGGTCTTCCGTACGCTCTATTTAGCTGAATTAAAACACTCTCTGTAGCGACCCACAAAACAACTCGGGGTCACGAATGGTGCAGGTGATGGATGTTTCCAGGGATCCTCTCCTTTTAGGCAGCATTAGAAATGAAGGCCAGAAAGTTCTACACGGAGGAAGGTGGCGGTGGCCCCGCGGCTGAGCCGCCTTCCACTGCCCCTCAGAGGGATGCTTCTGCCTCCGCTCCCAGAGCTGAAAGGCTCCGGTGCTGCCACAGAGGGGAGGGAGCCTGAGAACTTCCTGCAAGCTCTGTCCCGGGTATAAATTGTTTCTGTGTTGGAACACAGTAAAACCATATTTCAGCAATTAAGGAAGCTCATCTGTTAGCAGTTGTGTACAATTCCCGAAGCAGAAACGTTGCAGAGAGGGACAGTGGTGGTGGCAATTTTATACGATGGGGACGTAGCCTGTAACGTCACACGAGTTCAGTGCCTATTCATGGCTGCATGCACTTTAAACCTCCATTCTGATCGCAACAATCCAAAGAAGGGAGTTTCTAATACATAATACAATTTGAAAAGCAAAATAATGGAGGGGGAAAAGAAAAAAAGGAAAAATTTGCAAGGACTTGGGCTGGCCGCTTAGTGCCTGGGAAAACAAAGTTGGCCC